GGCATCCTGCGGGCCACATCTCCGTGTGCTCACTGGTCACAGAGTCACCGAGGCTCAAAACATGCAGCTGCTGTCATGTAAATCCATTTCAGAGTCAGTAGCTTCTGAGAGTCAACGGCCAGGCCGCCAAAAATGATAAAATGCCGGTAGTTGACTGGTGGCAGGTGACTCTCTTGGACAACGGCTGGACTAAAGCGACAGGACGGGTTGAAATATCTGCCCGCAGGAAGCTGCGATGAATCACGGCTTCGGGTGTGACACGTGTATCCAGGCAACTGCCCTTCTCCTCCATTTTGTTAATTAAACCTTCAATGCGTTTTTTTTTTTTTTTTTTTTTACAGCTGAGATGTGGACTGGGTCCTCCAGGCGAGAGGATTTGAGGCTGTGCTCAACCCAGAGCTGCCTATTGTGCTGCTGGAAAACCATGTCGTAACAAGAAGGTCCTTTGAAAATGACCGGTTCACTGGGGGTCATAAACGCTGCAGATCTTTTATGAAAAGGAATCCATTCCGCTGCCATAATGATGGGACGGGGGCTGATTTTGTCATTTATCGTTTATTGGTAGTGGGGGGGGGACATGTTATTAAACATCAAAAGGAAGCCATATTAGCTTCCACTTTTAACGTGATCTGAGGAAAAAGGGGGCCCCCCTTGTCCTCTTTTGATTAGCACATGCTAATATCATTAGCATTAATATAATATCTCGAAGAAGCAGAAATTTGTGCCCTCAGTAATTAAGCCATTATTAAAATGAAAAACAAGATGAGTGCTATCAAGCAGACTGAATCCCTGAATTAAATATAAATGCGAAAATAAAATGGTCGAAAAAACCATTTGCATCATTATGAGAAAGGAGTAAATAAAGGTATGAGTCTGCCGCAATTAACTGTTAAATCAAACAGCTTACAAACGTTAACAAAATGTGGACTTGGCGTTGGGAAAAAACAAGGAGGCACACAAAACGAAACGCGAACGAATCTGACACGATGATGGGTTATTGTACGAAAAAAAAAAAACCGGCGCGGCTGTGACCGCCATGTGGTGGGTTTTGGTAACTGCAGAATCATGATTCACATGGTAACACTGCCACCAAACAATAAACATTTCTAATGACCGCTTCACAATACACTTTGAACATCAGTTATCAGAGAACGTACTGTGATTTTGGCGGAAATTTTCTGCGAACAAAATGGAAGGCATGAAATTATTATTATTATTATTATTATTATTTTTACATTTTGTCAAGTAAACTTTGCTACAAAGGTTGTCCTTGTTTCTAACAATGCAGTGGCCTTGGTGCCACCCGTCCTTGTACCATGTGACGTACACAACGCTGGGTGCCAATGGAGTGTCAATCTGCTATCCACACTGTGACCTTGAACGTTTAACAGTGGCAGAGATGGCAGCTGGGGGCCCAGTCACCACCCGCCCCCCCATCAAAACGCATGATGCATAAACCCCCAAAAAAATAAATAAATTATATATATATATATATACACATATAAAGCCAGTTGACAAAAGAGGATAATCTTGGAGAACTGCTGCTGGAATCCCAGACAAAACAAGCTCACCGATTACAAGAACGAGGAACTCCTTGCTTGCAGAGACACAGTGTACCGACTTTCGTAGTCGTTAGCATTAATCATTAACGTGCTGACGTCCCATCCAGCCTGGTCACTGGGGAATTCAATCTGAAGTTGAACCATCGTGAACTCATTGTTCTCAGGAAGTAAAACAAAATGCGAGGCGCATTGGAGATCTGGCACGATGTCTGTGTGTACCGCTAACGTGCTACAGTGCTAACCTGCCATCGCTCAACTTGTTGATATGCGAGCAGAAGCTCCAACAAGCTATATAGATAGGTGTGATCATCTCATGCTGGCGTAGTGGATGGAGAAGGAGAGTGGAAATGGCTCTGTGGCTGCCAGATGAAGATAAGAGGCCTGCAGTAACACCTGCAAAAATCTGGATTGTTTAATAATAATCTTAAATGTGAAGGGTTAAAACTGTTAGATATATAACTTACTGTAGACTGAGGGTGTCCAATAAGCATTTAAATGTTATTTGCTGCTATTAGTACTGTCCCCAGCAGACCATCTTTCCTGATGCATTATGGTATTGAGATCACACTGCATCTCCCCGTGACTTGGATCCCACTGCCTGAGCTCTTTCTTCCCCAGCCAGATAGCTACTACATCCACAGGCTGTTTGCCGAAAACTTTGAGCCAAAGACCACAGACTCAGTGTTTGCGAAAAGCAAACGTAAGAGAGGCGGCGGCTGCGTTAGATGGCAGACGTGCAATGAGCAGGAAGCGGGTCACTTGTCCCAGATGTCATCAGCAACCCCCCCCCCCCCAACCTCTGGACACTGCATAGTCACCGAAACACTGGGTCACACTCAAGCACTGGGGCCGCTTACGTTTTTTTTCCTCTCCCACGAATGAACCCCAGCTGGGCATTTGAATAAATGGGACAGTCCATCAAAGTCCTTCATGGGGATGGAATGTGTTCGCAGACAGTTGGGCTTCAGAACCAGCCTCCCTCGGGTCCAGCCCTTTATCGGATTGTTATCCCTCCGTTGTGCCACTCATCTGGGCTTGCTCACCTGGAGCCCTGCAGCAGTTCCCACACCAGACCGGGAGTCCCACAATGCATTTAAGCCCCCCCACCCCCACCCCCACACACACACACACACATGCACACTCACTGCTAGGAACGTTACGCACAGGGGAATTCTGTTTTTTTCTGTCTGCGAGGGATTTTTTGGTCCGATGCTGAGCCCAATTAAAATGTGCTTATCCCCCCCCCATCAACTCCCCCAGGTGTTGGAACTGGTCAGCAAAAGTGTTAGACAAGGCACAGTCTGACTGATGATGGAATTATCAAGATGTGATAGACTACATCTACTAGGCTGGAGCAGAACTGGGGTTTATATGACCGCCCCCCTCCCCCCCCCTCCTACACACACACACACACAGAACCACCCCATTGCTCTTGCCAAGAACGGCAACCCCACATTCTGCAGTGGAACCCTGCTGTGAGGAAATTCAAAAGGTACCCGCGACAGGACCGAACTGAGCTCAGCTAATTCCAGCCATTTTGCAATTAAAGATCTCCACACAAATGCCATTCCCTCACTGGAGTGGCTGTCCACTGATCTGAGGAGCTCAGATCTGCTCAGACGCCAACAATCTCGTTAAAGAGGATAATGAGCAATCAGGTCGGGTTTGGGAGCGTGCACCGGTATGGCGCCTCGCTGCACCCACCACTGGACGATATACCTCGGGATCCCGACTGGCAACCCCTCCAGGCAGACATACGGTCCAGTCCCCCACGCCATCTCTCTGCCGCAGCCAGGTGTTACGTGGGCATCCCCTTGGCCTGCTTCAGCCGGATCACCCTCAGGGAAACGCGCCACACGGGCGCAGTGCCGTAACTGACGCTCCCTCACAGTGCAGGTAATGTGCCTCATTCGGGGCTCCCTGAGCAAACCGGAGGTACTCAAGCTTCCTAAGAGACACAGTACCGAGTCCAGCCTTCGTCTCAGCTCACTGGATAATGTCCACGTCTCACACCCATACAGCAAGACAAGGAGCACCAGGACTCTAAAGATTTGGACCTTCATCCTCTTACAAAGATATCTGGAGCACCATACACGCCTTTCCAGTGACCTCATGACCCCCCCCCCATGCTCTCCCAGTCTGTCTACTGAGAGCAGTGTCATCCCCCTGCAGTTGCCACAATCCAGGCAATCAACCTTCCCTTTCCTGATAGGGTCAAGTCTCGTTTTGCAGTCAGTAGGGATGATGCCCATCTACCAAATGAAAGCAAAGATCATCCTCAAGAACTGTGGACCCAGATACGTCCAAAGCATAACCGGGACCATCCCTTTGATCAGTCCATCAAAGGGATACAATTCATCACACAAAATGGACAAGCATGATACGATAAAGCGAATATAATAAATATCACATAGTAACCATTGCAGTTCCATCAAAGGGGAAAGTGTTTGCAGGAGTAGATTTGTTAATCAAGAGTAAAGACACACGATTATCTCTCCCAGGTGATCATAGTCAAACCCTCCCTCACAATGGATTTCCTACCTCTGGAAGGTACATTATGACGTAAAGATGGATGACAGTCAATATAGCATGGTTTTTAGGTGAAATGTGACAGACATGCCCGTGAAAACCTGGGACTTAAAACGAGGTCGCAGTTAAACCAGCTCATCTTAATCTCTCTGCCCCGTTTGAGCAGTCGTCTCCTTTTCTGAGAGTAGCCCCTTTGAGTTTGATTTGATTTAAATCAGATTTGATCAAAACATCCTTCCTGGGCTGGATGTGAGAAGCCCCTGTCTGCTTGAGTGCCCCTGTATTTGCAGCTCAAAGTGGTCAGGCACCTCTGGTTATCTGCTGTTGTTGGGGCTCGTACATTATTACAGTCTCACATCTCCATCCATGAAGGCCTGGCACCCCAGTTTAACCTGAATTTATTTATCACAGCGTTAACGGCACATAATCGTAACCGGTGACATTCCAGTTCAACCAAAATCAAGCCCAGTACTTGGGAGCACACTGTTATTTCATCTGGGATTCGAGCTCAAAACCTTCTGGGTCCAGAGAGCACAGACACCCTAGACCGGGGGTGGGCAATCTTATCCGCAAAGGGCCGGTGCGTATGCAGGTTTTTGGGATAACCTGAAGGTCGGAAACCCAGGTGAGAGGAATCTTCAGCCAATCAGTCGTCTAATCAGTCCTCTGGTTTAACAACATGTTAATTAGGGAGTTGCAGCGAAACCCCGCATACACACCGGCCCTTTGCAGATTTGATTGCCCACCCCTGCCCTAGACGCTTGCTGTTTCAAAAACGGAGCGTCTCGTATCCAGTGTGGTGACCCTAATACTGGGGCTTTTGGTCACCTTAAAGGACGCATCCACTAATGGGCGTCTATCTTGTGACGCCCCCCTCCCCCCAACAGTGTGTTTGTAGGACGCACATACCTCCAAAATCAGGCCGCAAACGGATGTCATACCCCTTCAGTAACTTGTCCACTGTCTTTTTGGCCACAGATATTCCGGTATTTCCAGTGGAGGTGCTGGTGAAAGCAAATCAGGGAGAAACAGTTGATTGTAATATCCACAGTTTCAGTTAATAAAGGGGACGTCTGCACAATGCTGATCATACATAGAACAACCGGAACACAAAAATCCACACGTTTATTCCATTTAAAAGCGTCATTGGTCACTCTGCGTGTATTTTCAATATTCAGTATCTTAATCAATGGCTGTTGTCTCTTACGATCACCCGAATGATACGACGCTGGACGTCATACAACATGTTGTGCTCGCAGGATGGTATTAACAAAACATTGTTCGTTAGCGTGGCTCTGCGTCTGTGTCCTGAATTTTTATGTGCTCCTTTTCCCCTCTAATGTCGGCGTAGTGTTATTTTTCATCACAGAAAAACCAAAGAAAGCGACATGTCAGGCATAAATATGAAAATGCAGGCGCGCCTTTTGACAAGTCCTTCTCTGTTCTGCTCCTTGTTTGGATTCGCATAAGCACAGTGAGCCTTAATAATTTACATTATTACGATACCCCAAGGCGTGCCTCATTAAGTTTTCATCTCATAAAGTTAAAACAGCTGTGTTCTATGTAAAATGAAAGAGCGGGAGGGGAAATGCCGTGCCTCACAGAGAGCAATCGACATTTCAAAAAATGGAAGACATTTTCAGTTTTGAGTCATCCTTCTTTGCTTATTGGGCGGATGTTGTGTTCTGTTCAAAATGCAACAAAAAAAGCATTAGACTTAAGTCATTTGATGACCACTGTACAGTCCGTGGCCTGCCAGTCGATTCACGCTCATACCAATTCACAATTCAGTATGGACTGATAATATCGTCGGTGGCGATGCAAATGTGTTCCTTTTTTGTCGTAGGTTACTTTGTATTCTATTGCTTCTGCGTTTACAGGTGCCTTATCCACATACGACGTGCGTAATCCAGGGCACATTTAGAAATGTGTCTCTATGAACTATAATCGCAGTTTTTCTTTTAAAGGCATAACATCGAATAGATTTAACGAAACTAATAAAAAAAATGTGGTTTAATAACCGCTTACAAAAAAGATATGCGTAACAATCGGTGTTGTAATTAATACAATGCAATTGTATGACACATTTGGAAGGGGTGGGGGTGAGAAAAGAGGAAATCTTTTTTTGGGGGGGGGGGGGGGGTACTACATGCAATTATTCAAAAAATGGTTCGCAACAAAAATCATTACCGTTATGTTGAGAGACTTAGACTGACATGTGGGATGTAACTCTCTTCTCTCATATATATATGTTTAACGAAACAAATAAAACCGTAGATAATTGTTGAAATATTCCAAGTCTACTATATCCGAGTCACGTACAACTGTGTTTTTATCAATAGATATTACGCCAGAATCCGCTTGGTATTAAGGTGTAAGTGTATGAATTTTATGAAACATATTATGCGCGCTCACACAGGGGCGCGCATCGGGTGTAAATTTCAAGGAAATTGTTGACATGTATCCGAACGCAATTGTATGTCTATGTGCCAGTGTGCTGTCAGGGGAACGGTAATGCTCTTAAACATCCAACTGTATGTGTTTACATTCGTAATCAATTGGCTGAATTAAAATATAATAGTATTTTTATTTTTATTTTTTTAAAAAGACGTTTCCTCACCTTTGAGCAAAACAGACGAGGGAGAGAGCCGCCAATGCTGAGACAATTCCACATAATTTATCTTCTTGAGGACCCAACATTTCCACAAATCCTTGTATACAGTTTTAGTAATCCAACCGCCTGTGGTCCTCGGCAAATAAATAAATAAACAAACAAACAAATAAATAAATAATTGAAAAATCCACCTGAGACGTAAAATAAAATATACAGGCAATGAACTGGCCGGAATACAGTGGTTGGCGAATATACATATATAAACGTTTCTATAAAATATACATAATATATGTATAAAGCTCTAATTTGGCACAGTCGTCTTCCTAGCTAAGGAAACCCGTGCAGGTCACAGACCCCTTCGACCAACACCAGAAGAGCAGGCATCTTGCTCAAAATAAATAACACTTTCGAAAGTTCCAGTAAGTTCAAAATGAAGAAAAAATGTACAAAAGGCCGAAAAGATAAAACAAAGACCAAAAAAAATATATACAAACAAAAAGCAGCAGCGCCTTACGGACGGTATTCTGGCTGCTGCAATTTGCCAGTCCAAATCTGCAGAAGAGTCATAGTTCCAACGACGATTCTGCGCGGGGGGATTGCTCCTCTGTGTGTGCTGTGTTTAAGCACTTTTTTCCTTCAGATGTAAACGTTTGGTGATGGGGGTGGGGGTGCGGTTGGTGAAAAATAAAAAAAAGAAATCTGCATTCCCTTATTATTGCTGCTGATGATACAGGTTCTACTCCTCTGTACGCAAAGCCGCTAGGGAAAAAAATTGCACATTGGAAAAAAAAAAAAGCAGAAGAAAATATCAGATGCAGACGTCAGAGTAGGTAATATTAACCCTTTGACAAAATAAATAAATATATAAATGGACGATAAATGGAGAACAAACAGAAAAATATAGCTTTTCTTTAATTATCTCAGTTTTATATGGATTCGGTTGCAACTGATGTCCAAAACGCTAGCCAAATAGAAAGCCCGGTCTCTTTCCGTGTTCCAGCGCTTATTCTCCCGATTCAAAGCCTTAGCAAGTTGTGCTGCTCTTCAAAATGAAATAATACACAAACGAAATGATGGCACAGTACGACAAAAGCTGTGTCTAAATCAACCTAAAAAAAACTGAATGCATGAAACTTCCAGTCCGGCAAAATCGGAAATAAAGCACACCAAAGAGCAGGCCGACGTTAAAAAGGCGTTGAATAAAACCTTGATGTCGATAAAAGAATATTGAAAGCTAACGAAGAAGAACGCAACCTGTCCGCGCTCCCGATCGCGAAGGAATGAAGAGAAACGATGCGTTTAGGGACGATTCTTCCTACAATCCATTAAATTACTGTGAGTGTATTCGGGTGCATTTCTACGCATATATGCCAATAAGGCGCCAACTTAGATGTTGGAAAAGATGAGTTACCGTGCAACGTATGTTTCATGTATTCATATTAATTATTGTCACATATTCCGCTTCACATGCGCGCGCTGCCATGCGAACGTCGCCTGCATGTGCGCACCAGCAGTCTGGCTGTCTTTGTGTAACTTCGCGCGTAAAGGCGATGCATGCACACAATTTGGTGTCACCTGGGTCTCCTTTATGAAACATGCTCATATGTACATACTAAATGCACGCGCGATCAGGGGGTATTTTATTGGGGAGGCGAGCCTTTCTGTAGGAATCTATGTGCTGGCCAGTTGCTTAGCAACCGCGCGAGCGGTGATGCAGAGCAGGAGTGCTTTGGAGGCTAAGTGCGAAGACATTTAAAGAGCAAATGCGCTTCTGTGCGGATGTATACTGTGTGTGCATCACACACCTTCCCTGCACAGGTTGCCATTCCCATGCAAACCTCCCGCGTCCCAGTCAGAAGCCGAATAATAGTCGAGTGAGCCCATTACACGCATTAGACTTTATTTAAGAAATATTCTGTCAAGAAATCATCTGTATAATCACTGCTAATACCGATAATAAAATTAATTTAAAAACAACAATATAAGGATACTGTGCAAAATATGAAGACCTCCAAATATTGGGGTGGGGGGTCAGATCTATGAACAGCTAATCTAAACAGGTGATTACAAGTCCTGAGCAATAATGTACTGTGTTTCCTTGCATACAGCTTACCACATGCTGCAATATTTGTAAATCGCTGTCTGCATTGGAAAACTATATGTAAAAATGTGGATTCTGTTTATTTGGCCAGAGATGTGGCTGGGGGGGGGGGAGGTGACATATTTCCATCCATATTTTCTCAGGCGACCCTTATTGATCCTGGCAGTTAACCCTTATTCTGAGAGATATGTGGTGCATTGGAGAGTAACGAGCAGGGCGTAGATGAAGCAGAACGTGTGCAGATCGAGAGGGACATCTGGGAGACAGGCAGACAGGAAGCTTCAGAAGTCATGTACGGTCTGGAGGTGTAAGCGTTCGAGACATTACACGGTAGAGGACGATGCTGAGCACAGCTTACTCTGCAAAACGTGGGGGTGGATATTAAAAATGCTTCAGGAGGGACAAGCGAATCACTAATAGACAAGGGACAGCAGTTGTTGCCAGGGGTTGTGGGAAAAGACATGTATGGGTGATTGTGACACAGAGATAACAGCATGATGTTCTGAGAATGGAAGTTCTGCTTAATTTTGACAATCGCGGCGTCAGGAGCAGCCGTTTCCACAAGGGCGGCGCCGTCGTCCAAGAATCTGAGGGTCTCGACTAGGCTAAGGTGGGCGGTCAGACAAGAAGCAATTCCTCAGCTGCCACCCACATAAACGTTGGCATTGCCGGCTCCAGTTCTGCGTCAACAGGACGTGGTTTGGAAAAAAATGATGCTACAACTTCAAGAGCACAAAATGGGTGGGGAAGTTGATATGTACAACCTGACAGGAGGCTGGGGTGACACTGATCGATGCAGCCCGACTCTGGGAAAACGAGGCATTTCCTGTCCTTTTCCAGCCGCCCTGGTCACATGAGCGGCGAAGATAACGTTTGCAAAACAAAAAAAAAAAGTGTTAAAACAGCTAATCTATAATAGCGGAGACCACATTGTCAGATCAGTCGATAGAAAACTGCGATCTTAATCAGCATCAGCAAGCAGTCTGCTTTTCATTCACTGCAATTAATCCAGACCCACGCATTCATTAACTTTAAAATGCTTACGTCGCCGTTTTTCACGTTCACCGATGGCACCCTCCCCTCAGTCGAGCTCCGCCAAGCCCATCTCGATGGCAGATTACACTTTAAAAAGGCCACCAAACTTCTCAGGAGATATATTGTGTGGCCATATCCCCGCTACATTTTTTTTTTTTTCGTTTTTAAGAATACAAATGTGAATAAAAATGGCGCAAAAGTTCATTAGTGCGTGAGACAACTTCCTGGTTGGCAAAACCTATAACAGTGTGTCTGCTGTTGATACAAGATAATCATGATACATGCAGGGGCATTAGATTTGGGCGATATTTCAACAGCAAGATGAAGGCTTTTAAGACCCATCCCTTTATAACACAGACTTTACCCTCCCTTCCACTGAAGATAGTTGATTAGCAGGTAATATTAGCAGATTAGCAGGTTGATTTAACTTTGTTAGTTGATTTGCAGGTAATATTTTACTAGAGATTTGGGTTTAAGTACACTGATCCAGGGAATGACTTCCATTCACAAAGTCGAACCTACAACCCTTTGATGTGAACTGAATGGGACTGTATGTTTAATTTTTGCCTCCAGAAACATTTACCGTAAACAAAGATATGGTGCCTGACCAGCTGCTGGATGGGTGTAGAACTCTCTGTTTAACAAGCATCGTATTTAACTGAAAGATCACCTTGGAGGCAACAATCATTGTGAAATATCTAACACCAGAGGTAGAGACTTCAGGTCCAGAGAGTACAAATCCGGACCAAGATTTTGTTTCAACCAACCAGTTGAGTCATAGAGTAGTCAACTGGTTGGTTGAAACAAAATATCAGTCTGGATTCGTACTCTCAGGACCTGAAACCTCCACCTCTGTCTAACATTACGTGACAGGTGAACAACATGGAGATGAGCCCATCGCAGGGCACACACACACACACCCACCATTTACTCACACATACACACCTATGGGCAATTTAGTAACTCTAATTAGCCTCAGCATGTCTTTGGACTTTATGACCAACATGTAAAGAATGGAATTCTAAGGAGAGAACTGAAACTTCTAGTAAGATGTATATCCAATGAGAATGATTCACATCTAGGGGGGTGATGTTTCTGGGACCCCATTCAAAAAATCACTAAACACCCCCCTCCACTCATCCACAAAGATCGGTGACTGTTTGTGGCCAACAGGGGAACCTCAAATCTTGGGTCCCCCACACAAATGCATGGTTTGAGTGCCAGTAAACACCATCGCTGAAGACACCGATGTTGATTATCAATAAATCCATTAAATCATTACGAAAGATGTTTACGGTGTCGAAAAACACTTATAACGAATCTCCAAGATGTCTCTGTGTGACGTTTAATCCTGCATCTCCTGAAATCTCAACGTCGGTCCAGTTAGCTGGACGCCCACCGTGCATCTGCCGCACGTGAGGACAGCCTTGACTGCCAACGGCACTCCTATGTTCTCGCCTGATGAGATGATGTCAGGGCCTTCTTCAATTCCAGGGGGAGCAATGTAATGTCAATTTTCATTTTTCATGCACAGCGGTGAGGTGTGTGTGTTCGGTAGGGGAGACATGGGGGTTGGGGGGTTGGTGCGCCGGTGGTTTTTGTGATGTGTTCACTCTTGTCTGTTTTGTAGGAGATTTTGTATAACTTCCTCAACACAAAATGGTGAACAGATGAAAGCATCTGACTTTGCTGACTCAAGGCGAAATCGCAGCCTGCTGTTTGGAGGGAGAGAGAAAGAGAGTGAGAGAGAGCGAGAGAGAGCGAGAGAGAGCGAGAGAGAGAGAAACATCACAGTCCCTTGTTTGTTTGCAGCTTGTTCTTCTGTGGTGAAATCCCCCAGATTCTGACCCTAGAATACTAATAAAGGCAGCAATTTTCTAAGAAGAATTATTTTATAAGAAAGCTGGTCCTGCCCTCATTATTTGACTGTGTTTTTTAAAATCACGGCTTTAGGGTAGTTGTACCAGGGCCAAAATGTGCACGAGCAGAAAAAAAATGCTAATTTGAGACTCAGGCAGAGCTGCGTGGCTGTGAAGCCGTTGCATGTCAAACTCACGTGCATCACAGGGAAATATTTCTGCATTTAGTGGCCTGGGGTAACATTTGTGATCTGACCCTGAAATTCTGATGAAGTCTGAAACTGTTGACGTTACAGATGCGATTGCACTATATGCGAATGCAGTATTTTTTTAAACATTCTTATGTATTTATGACATGATAACCGTTGCAAAACTGAGATGTTTTGGAAGGAAATCACCACTCGATGTGCAGAAATAGTAACGCATTGTGTGTTTATGTAGTTTTCTCCTTCTTACGCCTCCTGGCAACGGAAATGAAAACAGAAAACTGTCGCTTTCAACAAGTTCACCATGCTTGGAATACAGTTTAAATATAGTTGTATTTTAATATAGCAGGAATAAGCGATCTGTTTACTGCTGAAGTCCTTTGAACTTGTTGGCTGAAGAATTCTAGAAGCCCAAGGGTATGATGTTGCTTGACAATTCTAGTCGGGGGGGGCGGTGGGGGAATTGAAGAGACATCTGGTTGATTAGGTAAAATGTCCCCTGGGGGTCGTCCTCCAGCATCGCCCTTATATTTGATGGTTACATGAACCCCCCGATACACACACACATGTGCCAACATCAGATCGCACCGGTCACACGGTCCAGATAGCACCACAGAACCTGATCTCATCTGATCCAGGTTTTTTCCTTGCACGCCAGCACGCGCTTCACATCTGACACTCCCGCGAAGATGGGCCTTGGCGAATCGCGTCCTGTTCCTGCCCGCTCTGGGATGCCGAGCTGCGCCGTGCCGGAGGGGAGCCCGCGGGGCCTTATCAGATGAGACAGTGTGGCCAGGTGGCGTGCCAGACATATCCCCTGAGCCTGCTCTCTGCGGACGGGAAGCCAGCACGCCTATTGTGGGATGGGGAGGGTCACCTGACCGTAGCTGCTGGCTCCGATTGGCTGAGCCCTCAAGATGTGGGCGGGGCATGTCCCTTATTTCCCACTCACATGTTGCATAAGGCGTGCGAGTTACTAGGTCAGCTTCACCCCTCAAATATAAATAGCATCACACGCTAAATACATCCGTGCCTTCCAGTCGCTCCCAGTGTGTCTCTTTTTGCCTCCCACCTGCCCTCTTTCCCACTACAGCCCTTTCCAACTTACTTACCGGTCGTGTGCTGTGGCCCCCGTGTCCTTTGGAAATGGCAAAAGGAGGCGTTTTCCGTTTTGCCAAGCGTTACTAGATATTAATGTAAAAGGCAGGGTAACCCTTTGCTTTGCCAAGATCCGTGATATTTTGAGCATCTTGCATATTTTAAGAATATTTTTTGATGAAGTCTCGCTTTCCTCCG